AGGCTGCTTTTTCACTCACCAGTCCCAACTGATTCCAGAACTTGGACCTGAGTAGGATATTATTCTTCATATTCTGGAGCTCCATTTTCATTTCTCAGGCATTTGTGGTAAGCTTTGGGCACCTTTTCTAGGATAAGAGTAATCTGACTATTATGGTGGCTGCATGGGTTTGTGTGTTCTGAGTACTCAGAAGGCCTCCTTCCTGTTAAACTTACAAGATCACCTTAAATGTCTGTGTCCTGATGATCTCCTGTGTGTCCTTCATCAACCTAGCCTTCTTCCCAGGTGTGTGTCCAGGTGGCCTCATGACTCTAGAAATGTCATCTATTCCTTTCAACGGCTCCTCTAGCAAAGAGGTAATTACTGCCTGTATCAGTAAGTTCTAGAAACCACGATACCATCTTAAATATCTGTACAAATGAAATCTGCTCCAGATATTAATAGAAAGCGCATCAGCATTCACTGACATATTTAGAATAAAATTCAAATGTTTTGTCAGTGATTGGAATCTGTAAAAATCCCTGCTTTCAGTTCACCCAAGTACTGATGGAAAATATTAACATTTTCCTGTTTGTTTGGTCCTTGCTTTCCCAGGGATTCCTACTTTTCTGGATTTCTCTTCCCTTTTCCAAGCTTTAAATCACATTTGAGACCCACTGCTGAGACTTCTAATAAGTGATTTCCTTTCGCTGTCAGAAGAGGGAGAAGATGACTCATCTCCCATATTATTTGGGAAATGCTAAAAGAAATTAATTTAAAAAACTGGAGGACCTTGTGTTTAGATTGATGGGTGATGCCATGATGAATCTAGCCTCCAAGAGCCCGGCCTAAGTTACATCCACCCATCCTGGTTCTCTACAAAAGAAACCAGCAAGCAGGCAAACAGGCAAAACTCAGAAGATTGTGGATCTTTGCTGCTTAGCACTGGGATAAACTTAGGATAAGCTCTTTCAGAATGTGCTAATTCACAGCCTGAATCCTACATAGCAGCAATTCTCAAGATGGGAATGATAACCGTTACACTTAGTGGTACACTTCCCACACCTGCCAGACATACGATGACTGGGTGGATACAAATAGAAAACCTTCAAACTGGGAGTTATAAAGCTATTGTAAAAAAAAATGTGCCAATATTTGAAAAGTGAAAATGCATCAAAAGTGAAAAGTATAAATGTTACAAATACTAGTGACACTGTTGAAGTCACAATGCTGGCAAACTTATACCTAAAGAAAAGAAAGACAAGGACTTTTGTTTGTCTTTCATATATCTAGTTATTTTTGAGACAGAGTCTTCATATGTAAACCAGAGTGGCCTTGAACAACAATTACTAAGCCTCAGTCTCTCTAGTGCTGATGTTGCAGGAGTGTATCATTATGCTTTTCTTGAATTTTCGACAGACCTCTGAAAATCTTATCTATCTTATTGATTCATTTAATAAGGTAAACTTAGGCAAAGACCCAGCCAGAGCTCTGTCATGATCCTCCAGCCTGAGGATGGATAGAGATGCCTCAGCATTTCTGTTCTATTTCTGTGTCTCCAGGAACTAGTCTCCTTTGGTCTTTCTGGAGTCCGGGACCAGCCTCCTCAGGGCCAGAAGGAAAGCAGAGGTCCTGAGGATCACAGAGCCTCTCAACTGATCCCTGGCTTAGGCAAAGGGAGAGACTTCTGCTTTAGTGAAACTCTCCATGGCACAGCTGAGGGATTGAAGATCTTACCTTCATGAACTCACCTGGACCTCTGTGGTGCAGACAGTCTCTGGAGCAGCTCTGGGAGGTGACACTTGCCAGGTCCTATTTGTACTGTCAGGATTTGTGGGGCTCTTGGCTGCCATCAGGTAGTGCGGACTTCAAGTTTCATGTTGTCACATTGTCGGGGGGAGGTGGGGGAAGGAAGGCCTCTGCAGGGCCCCAGTCCCTGAAGTACAGCTTCCCCTCTCTTCACAATTACTACATTGTTTTCCTCAGAAGTTATTTCAAGCTTAATTAGGGTTTAATGGTTTTGAGAGGAAGGATGTGAGATGAGAAAATGAACAACTAACCATGTTTCTGTGTACGGAGCTTCCCTCATCTCTAGACTGGATTTCATCTTCCCAAAGGGCCAAGCTGTGACCTGGAAGGGTCGACACACAGAACAAGTAGTTTTCTTCTCCCCATCAGACAGGAGTAGACTAAAGGGTGCTCAGCACTGGAGATTGTGCTTTCTGAGCAAGTCCCAAACATGAACCAGGACAGATTTAGAGTCCCTTGTTCGACCTGTGCCTATCAGTAGTGAAGGCCTTTGCGGTATATAATTTTTTTTCATTCCCGAACATTAAATACTTTAAATATCATATGGAGCTTGAAATATAAATGCTTCCACAATATTGACCTTATTCTAAAAGCAATCTTTACTCATAAAACTTCAAGGACACTTTTTTTTTTTTTAACTTACGTGTGTCCAAGAGTGGTCCTTCTGTGTACTTTTCATTCTAGTTCCTAGGATGCCCTTCCTATCCAAAATGCAAAATGATATAAATGCATGTGGGTTCAGGACTGAGACTTGTTCTTGAAAGAAAGCATCACTGAGTGGCCTTGGGAGATGGGTTCGCGGTCATGGCTCTTACTCTGTGCCCTGCATGATGGTGTCTCTATACACATCGGTGCAACTGGCCCATCACAGAAGGTAAATGTCCTTTTCTGTAAATGAAATGACAGCTTTTGCAGGAACCAGGATTCCACCCTCTCTAGTGAACCGGGGATCCAGGAACAGGGAAACTACGTTATATTTATATATGTCAGGGCAGATAGAAATAGGAAAATAAGAGTCGTTGACCAAATGGGCCCAGTGGGAGTCCCCAAACAACCCAGGCTGCTGCCAGGACGATAGGTTGTGCCTCACAAACTGACAGCAAGGCCCCATTGCTGACCACAACACCTGCATAACTCGTTAAAGTGGAGAGGTTGAGTTGGTGCCTACACAGAGGCTCCACTCCCGTTTCAGCTTCTTTGGCGCAGGATACTCTGTTTGCTCACAACAGAGAACCGTAAACACCAAGCCAGCCACAACCCTTTGACCTGCAATGGTGGCACAAAGCTTGTGTCAGTAGCCCACTAATGACTGCTTTGACTTAAGGTGCCCATGAGATGGAAGCCATACCCAACACTGATCAGGTGACCACGAACCTGAGAGCAGATGGCATGGGGAGTTAGGACAAAAACAAGTAATACTGGTCTAAGAAAAGAAAACAAATGTAATAATAAAATGACTCCAAATGATATTCTGCTGTACTCATAGATCGGTGCCTTGTCCAGCCCTCATCAGAGAAGCTTCCACCTGCAGCAGATGGGAACAACACAGAGACCAAAGCCAGACAGTACCCAGAACGGGAGAGACCTTGGAACACTCAGCCCTTATATGATATGTCTACATCAAATTCTTCCCCTCAGAGTTCAGAGAAACCTCTAGAAGACGAGGTGGAAAGAGGGGATGGGGAACACCTAGAAAACAAGGCTTGTCTAACATCTTGTTTTATCTTATTACATTTAAAAGTGAATGAACGAGTGAACTGATTAATTAATTAATTAAAACCTAGCCAATAGGGTAAAGGTTAATGACTGAACTGTCACTTAGAGTTTCTCAGAAAGCAAGTTTTCTCCAAGAGTGGCACTGGGTATTCAACCACTGCAGGACAGGCCTCATGTTCAGGAGTAGCTAGCTGACTAACATATAATTGGACTACAAGGTTGTTTTATTTTTAGGTGTTTTATTTGGTTTTAGCTTGGTGTTTGATGGTTTTCTTTTTGGATGTTTTTTGTTTGCTTGGTTTCTTGGTTTTAGGTGATTCTATAGTTGTATTCTTTCTTTGTGTATGTTTTGAGAGTTTAAATTTGGGTGGGTAGAGATGGGGAAAGGATCTGGAAGAACTTAGGGGAGAGGAAGAAGTATGATCAAAATACATTTAAATTTTAAAATTGCTTTAAGTAATAAGATACAATGATAATAACAAAAAGAAATTTAAAAATAATTATATCTGGTCCAACAAGAAGCACTTCCTTCTGCTGTCTTTATTTTGTTTAGAAAAATTCTAAATATCATCTTTGTCTTTGAAATACAAAGAAAATAAACAATTTAAAGCTTGTAGTGCTTTGACTGGGTTATTCTATAAAATATGAGAAGAGAGCAGAAAGAGAACCCTGCATGCAGCTTCCATCTGGGAGGAAATCTTTAGAGAAAACTGGCTACCTGCAGAGAGAGCACATGCTCAGAGGCACTGATGACCTCCATATGTCCCACAAGCTGACCTCATAGAAAGGATATTCTCTTGTAACAGGGTAGCACTTAAGAGTAACAAACCCTAGCTGGAGAGGTTGCTCAGTGGTTAAAGTACTTTGCTTCCAAGTATGAGTGCCACATCCCTTAACTCCCTGACATTTTTTTGTATCCTCATCTTTTATATCCCAGCAGTTGTTATGGATTAACTAAGGATGTGAACTGAGAAAACACACAACATAGAATCCAAACATGTTCTGTAACTATCTTCCCGTGTCCCCAGATTGGTCCTCTATCCACATTTCCAAGGTATGAACCAGCTCAGGGACACACTTGGGCTTGAGATTGAGCATCTCAAGACATCAAGAGAGCAGTTTGCAAGGAGTGGGGAGAATGTATGAACCAGAAGAGTAATGCAGTTTTGTGGTGGATCTCTTTCCTTCAAGCATGACAAGGCCATTGGCCACCATGAAGTAGAGTTAAGGTATGTGCCACAGAATACCCTTGCCTGTAACCTCAGCAATGGTGTACACAGAACAGCAGAGAGGAAGCTTGCCTTATGGTACTGTTAAAGAGACAGTTCAAGTCTCATGGGGGATGGGAGGCAGGGCCTGTTTTCACACCTTCACCTCTTCCTGCCATAGCCTCATATTGTTTGGGGGGTATTTAGGAGGTGAAAGCTTGATTGAGGGTTGGGATCTTTTACTGTACAGCTCCTTTGGGGTTGTCATCCATGTTGGAGCCAGACTTTCTAGATGTAGCTTGATGACTTCCATGCACCTATAAATGAAGATGTTCCCAGGTGATCCAAGGAAACTGGTTCACTCAACACCACTTCGAAGGAACCAATTCTTTGCACAGTTTTTACACTATCTGGGGTGAACAGATGCTTTTTAATGTCTTCCTAGGAAAAGTCACATGACAGAGAGACTTTGAAGGTAAAGGTTGGTAAGTTCTGAGTAGCCACAGATTCATATGTCTAATTATATGGAAGAACCAGCCACAAGCAGGTTCACAAATGGAGGTCAGGGGACAACATGTGGGAGTCAGTTTTCTCTTCAGAGATAGATCAGGTTGTCTGGCTTGTCGGCAGGTGCTTTCACCCATGAGTCGTCTCTCCAGACCCCTGTCTATTCTTAGTGCTGAACAATGTCTTCATGATGCAGATTTAGCACATCTTTCTTCACTCCTTCTCCATGTTCTCACATCACTTCTTTTGGGGTCAAATTACACACTGAGAAAGTGTTCATTAATAGGGCCCTTTATGTTGGTTTCTAGAAAATGGCTGTAACAGAAGAGTGTGAGACCAAGAGAAGCAATGGCTGTTACCTACAAACAAGTCACACTTACATGAGAAATGTGAAAAGACACCCACCCCTCTTGCAGAGGATATTGGTTCCTCACCCAACACTCCTCATATTTAGGACTCATGACTGCCTGTAGTTCTTGCTCTTCAGGACTCAGTGCCCTCTTCTGGCCTGGTGGGTACTTGTAAAAATGTGGCATACACTCACACAGGCACATACACATAATAAAAATAAATCTTTATCTTAGAAAAACACCCTAATTAGTAATCTATAGCACAATACAATACTCTCACATTTCTCACTTAATTGTTTTGTACATAGAATGCAATCAAGAAAAAAAGAAACCTTTTCACCATAGTAAAGTAGAGCCATGGTGCACCCAAAACACAAACTGTTACAGAGGTTTTGGTCAGATGAGCACATCTGAAAAATAGTTGTGGATATAATCATTGAAAACAAAATTGTACAATTGTTAGATGTGGGTAGAGTTTTCTGTCTAGACTGCTGATCAGCTCTGTCCCACTAGCTGATTCCCATAAAACCATACAGAGCCTTATTACTAATTATAAATGCTCAGCCAATCTCTTAGGCTTGTTACAGCTTTTACATTTTAAATTTCTTATTTATGCTCTGCCATGAGCTCAGTACCTTTTACCAGCACAGCCAGTTCTCCTCTTCCTCTACATCTCCTCGCAACTCCTGAGATTCCTCCTCTTCTTCTTCATGCTCTTTTTTTTTTTGTCTGCCAGTCCAACCTGACCTCTACTGGTCCAGCTATTGGCCAGTCAGTTTCTTTATTAAACCAATCACAGTAACAAATATTCACACAGTGTAAAGGGATATTCCGCATTTCCCCCTTTTTGTGTAATTAAAAGGAAGGTAAAACAATTATCAAGTAAGAATTACAATTACAATATCCATTCCATTTGTATTTGGCAAAGTTAGACAAAATACTATCTATCTTACCTTTGTGAGTCTAAAGTTTTATACCTAATTTACCTTTTTAATATAACTAAGGAAAAATTTAAGTCCAATTATTTAGTGTTTAATTCCCTAAAAGACTCCATAAGGATTTAATGTTACCTAATGACAGTGACATCTGGCTGCCTGGACAATCTCACCCAAAGTCCTTCTCTAATCTTGGGGCATTTAACTCTGGCTACAGGCCTAGTATATTAGACAGGCATTTTTGAGAAGCAGCAAATTTTGAAAGACTGTCCTACCTTGTCTTGGCAAAGTTTGACAGCTGCCTTTCTTGTGCCCTGGTTGTCTAGTCTGGACAGCCGTTGGAGAATATTATTTTAAGGTGTGTTACATTTGTTCATGTTGCATTTATTTAACTCTGTGACATTGTTTTACTGTGCCTTTCTAAAACAACTGATGGTCTAATAAGGAACTGAACAGCTAATAGCAAGGCAGAAGAAATAGGCAGAGCTGGCAAGCAGACAGGATAGATAGAAGGAGAAATTTGGGAGGGGGGAAAAAACAAGAAAAGGAGGAGGACATTAGAGACAAGTCAGGCAGCCACACAACCATCCACCGAGTAAGAAGAAAAGTAAGGTTACAGAAGTAAGAAAAGGATAAAAGCCCAGAGGCAAAAGGTAGCCAGGATAATTTGAAGTTGGGAAAAGCTGACAAGAAACAAGCCAAGCTAAGGCTGGGCATTTATAAGTAAGAATAAGCCTCCACATGTGATTTATTTGTCATCAGGGTGGCAGCCACACCCCCAAAAAGCAAAAAACAAACAACAATTTGGTGTCCAACATGGCCTAATTTCCACATATGGCTTAAAAAAGTTAAGAAAAAAAAGGATACAGCTCCTTTAAGAGTTTCTGCCTGCTGGCAAGCCCTTAAGCAGCAAGCATGTTAAGTAGGAACAAAACTCTAAGTAAAAATGTCTGCCACATTGCAAGCATCAGAATTCTAGAGCTCTAGGAAGGTTGAATGCAGTTCCTGGTCAGGCAAACCTTAACTCTCTGCAAGTTTCACATTTGGCTTTCACAAACTGAGAAGAGGGTGGATCCACCTGAAATCTGTGTGCAGAGGATCTAGGTGTAGGTTCGCAGTTTAAAGTTTTGCTTACCTGGTCAAAAAAGGCTGAAGATATGCAATAAAAGAGGTACAAATGGAAAAACCTCTAAACAGGTTACAGTGTGTTTAACAATGTGCATAAACTTAAGAAAACAAAAATGGTATAGTTATAAATTAAAGTGAGAAGTAAAGTAAAACAAAAAATAATAAGTCACATAGAGTTTGGAAATACACAGGGATTCTGGATCCTGTATGTCATTGTGTTGATTTTGAATTTATTGATTGTTGGGAAGTAAAAGACAGCTGCTAGGAAACATGGAATTGTGAACTAGACTGCTAAATTGAACTAATCTCAATGCTTTAGGAGGAATGCCTTAACTTTAAAAAAGTAAAAAAATATATATATTTGTCAAATGGAAATAAAAAAAATGCATTGGAGAACAGATTTTGCTTTTGTTTCCACAGGAGATGAGAGGCTGTGGATTCCTTCAGAGTTAATATGGATCAGGTTTGATCAGGTGAGACCTCTTGAATATTGACAGGTGATGTCTATCAGCAAAGTTTACTGCTGGTCTTCCCAGGACTTGGTCATTATCTCAAAATTTTCTCTCTGGGACCCTAAAGATGTTTCATCCATAGAAAACAGGAACCAGTATAGAGAAAACTATGCTCACATTCCCAAGAGTTAGGAGGTGTGCGTGGTCTTTGGTTATTTGATGGGTTATGGATATTTATTTTAATTTAGGGAAATACAGGAATGATAAGGTAAAAGGGTAGTGTAGATATAACCAACCATCTTATTAAAATAAGAAACACAGAACCAATGTAAAAGAGAAAGCCAAGAGGTCAGAGCTCAGAGCTAAAATCTTACCTCCTACGGTGCTCCTACCTCCCCGAAAGAGAGCTCCTTCCTGTGTGTATGTCTTTAAATAGTCTTTCTGTTCTGCCTTCTCATTGGTTGTAAACCTAAACACATGACTGCCTCATCACTGCCTGTAAGTACAGCCCTCCAGGTTTTAAAGGCATATGTCTCCAATGCTGGCTGTATCCCTGAACACACAGAGATCTACCTAGCTCTTCTACCAAGTGCTGGGATTAAAGGCGTGCACCGCCAGCAGCGGCGGCGGCACCAGCAACACTGCCGCCACCACCACACTCTTGCTATGGCTCTAATAGCTCTGACCCCCGGGGAACTTTATTTATTAACATACAATGAAAATCACATTTCAGTACAAATAAAATACCACCATATTTCCCCTTTTCTATTTTAATAAAAAGAAAAAGGCAAAAGGTTATAACTAACAAAAGAAAAACTATATACAAAAGTACAATAA